TATATATAGTGTATGTGTGCACGCGCGTGCGTGTGTCTGTTTTTTTGTCTGTATGCATATGTATATATCTATTTTCATTTATAAATATGTATTTGCCGATGATTGGCGCTAAACAATTCATTTTTATCTATCGTATACATGATGGGTGTATAAGAAGTTTGTCTCAGGATTAACGATGACAGTTTATTATTATCCTTTCTTGTATTCGTATATATCATTCGAGTGTTTCGAGATGCCGTTATTTAATCTGATCACCTGATCGTTTCGAAATTGTAATTTTTTTAATTTCAACACATTTTTTCTCAGGGTCTAGCCTCATACCCGATCGTGGTGGAAGAACTGTCCAAGAAGAAGAAAGACCCCAAGAAGTTGCTTGAGCTTGATGTTTGGGTTAGTGAGACTCTTCCTGCTACGATCAAATCTCGAAGTGATACGCACATGTCAAAGGCTGAGATCTCCAAAATGACCACGTGGAAATTAATGGTATGTACTTATGCTCGGATAGGTCATGGATGAGGACCTATAGCAGAATGCCGAGAACAGTGTCAAAAATATATGCTTCGTACGAACTACGACATCGAAATCAGTCGCTCGAAGTTTTGGGTGTTTTATTATCGAGCATCATTCCGTCCAATGCTTGCGGCTAACTTGCTGCACCCATGTTATGCAGCAAGCACCATTAATTACGATACCCATTTTTACATCAGAAAATAGATTGCAATGTGCTGTGTCACATGTATGCGTGATGTACACAAACGCTTCTTACATCATGGAAACATTTACACAAATGCTACTTACATCATGGAAACGTTTACACAAATGCTTCTTACATCATGAAAACATTTCTGGCAGATGATACCTGTGATAAGCCACCTGCTAAGTATACTTAAAAATCTTTTAATCTGACAGAGAGGTAAATTTAGGCCGCGGCTGCAAAATCTTGTTGATTCTAACGATGAAAAGGTATGCCCTGCTTGTTTTATCACACTCCACTGAAGGTGACATCTCGAATTGAATTACCAAGCTACTGGTGTTTATTCTACTAGGAGTATATATTCTGGTCATATGATTTACGACAGCAATACCATGTACATTCGTGTACTTTACTACATTATCTCGCGACAAGTAATCGTAAGGCATGGACAGAGTTCATGCACCTGCATCGGATGGAGCGCCGCTGTTTTGATAGCAACTAGCGCTCTTTGATTGTGTATTTCTCGAAATCCGCAGGATATTATCGCGGCAACGAAGAAAGCGGCATCAGTCTCTCTACCAGGGTCTACAAAGGAAGCAATAACCGCCCTGACGACACTGAAAGGCATCGGACCTGCTACCGCTAGTGGTAGGTTTTGCATTTAGTGTGTGCAGGACAAGAGTTATGTACGGTGGCTGTGCGATGTGTAGCAACTGTAAACTACACCTAAAAAAACACATTACGCCGGTATGTTTAGTGCGCAATAGGCCTAGTTTGTGCATTGTACTTACTTTATCGTAAAATAGCGCGTACACAGTGAAATTTGACATTATTGTGCCTAGATCACATAAGCTCGTTGGATTCAAGTTTGTTCCGACTTCAGCGCATATTAGTTACACCTTTCCTACAACTTTACATCATTTATCCATAACCAGCTGCGCTGTGCGCGTTGTCAAATGGAAATGTACCTTTCATGTCTGATGAGGCCGTGATGGCAGTTCTGGGGCAAACAAAGATAGACTATAATATCAAGACCTATATGGAGTATGCAGTACGAATGGATGCGAAAACTAAGGAGCTGAACACGCTGATATCAAAGCAAGGTAAGAGTTTTCGTTGTGATCCAGAACCAAATGTTTTAACGTAAGTGACAAGCATCCTTATGAAATCTATGCCCATTTAGGCTTCTGTATAGACAATCTCCCCAGATAGATTTATTTTGCTATGTAGTGATACTATTTTATTATTATCTACGTTCAGACAGCACATGGACCTCGCACATGGTAGAGAAAGCAATGTGGGCGACGGAGAACGCAAAGAAAATGGGCGTGGATATTACTGGCGTCAAGGTAGGGTTATATGCTTTCATTCCTAGTTTGTGCTGCTTCTTACGCATCTCATTTCAATACTTGACTATCAGCGAAGTTTAATACTGCCGAAGGGGTTATTGTTTTAGTACTTCGGATATATGTCATGTGTATTTGAATCAGACTGCCCAGCCATGTCACAGACGTTTTTCGGATATTCACAATATTCCACATTGTGATTCTGATTGTCTTTCCACCATATCCATTTATTACACATAGGTGAGCAAAGACGGTGTCCAGCACCGCAAACCTGAAGAGGAAACACAAATACTATCGAAGGACCCGTCGCAAATAGCCGCAGAAGACAAAACTGAGCCTACGCCAAAACAGGTGAAAGCACAAGGGAAAAAAAATGAAGCAGTCAAACAATCTGAAGCGAAGACAGAACAATCACAGGTAGCACAGAATTCAGCCTACCCCACGCGACGAACGTCTAAGCGCCAATCAGAAGCTCAGTTGGCAGCTAAGGCCGCGAAGAAGGCAAAGCAGTAAATCGAACATGTATCTTCAGAAGAACGGGCTTCTGGACGCTTTTAATAAAGATTTAGGAATTTAGCTGATCTATATCGGGTAGTAGAATACGATTTAAAGTATACCCCCCTTGTTGCTAACTGTGTGATGGTGTTGAACAGGAGCCTAGTGTAGGTGTGCATTATCGATACATTGTAGCTGCTTTTCTCCCTTTTTTTATCGGTTGGCAATTTCAAATTGCAAGTGGTGATCATTCCCCCTTCTTTGCCCAACTGAATTGCAATCGGGTAGGTTCATGTACAGTGTAGCATATTTGTGTGTATTTTGGAAAACAAGGCTGGCATGTGCACATGTATTGGCGTGTGATGGTTGTTACGGAATATTTGTGGTAGATTCATGCGTTCCTATCTAAATACATCTCTAGAAGGCACGTGTACGGAACTATATAACCAACAGCATTATTGTTATCTGTCCGCACTGCGAAATACCCGCCCGGTCGGAAATAAGCAGTTCTTTCCATGCTAATCAACCCGTCGTATTAAAGTATCAAAACTCTGAGAAGCACATCTTTTTAGGGTGGTCGAATTAGTAACAGAAAACTCTTGCCTTCTATGCTTCCACTACCTATATCATCGATATGAATGATGCAAGGCAACCTTTATAAAATATATATAGCATACAGCGTGCTTTGCATACGGCTTTTTATACATGCCCAGAGCAGCAGGCAGCAGACAGCAGGTATACAATCTACAATCACATAGGTCTACACTCTACAGTCTCCGCCATACAGCACAGGGGGGCCGGTGGCGGTGTACACAGTATTGTGAATTTTTTTATCGCTTTTTGCCAAATTATGTTTTACCGGTCGCTTCTCATTGGACTATATCGCCATCATGATTTTTGATGGAATTGAAAGAAAGAGCGGCAGATTTGGGAGCTGAAATCCAAGATATGAACACTCCATTGGGCCGCTAATCGCATTCTACAAATAGAATATAAATCGGATAAAGTGCTTGAAAGTGGAACTTTTTGAAAGTGAATCATCGAATTTGACCCATATTTCATAGGTCTGTGTACTTTAGAAACTATTTAGGGCCGATTACGGTACAAAATGGCGGCGTGATGAATTGGTTTGTATTTAGTTTGGCATACAACGCAAATCGGTATTAGCACACACTCAACCCCGACGACATATGTAACAATCACAGCCTGCTTAAGATACATATAGCAGAGAGTGTAGCCTTACTGAGCTCAAAGTGAAGATTTTCATACTGCTTTGTCACATCAGTATACTGTGACGCGAGCAATCACGCATACGTGTGTATCTGTGGTTATCTGTCGAAACGAAACTGTTGGTGACAACGTTTGCACTGCTGTTCGTACCATTAGCTCCGTCCTGGCCGACATCCTTTATTTGTATAGAATACGCATATACTAGTGCTTACTATAGCTTTTTAAGGGATCGATGCATGTTTTAGTCATCCATGTTGGGGGAATCTCTCCCATCCAGCCCTGCCTCTCCTGGTAGAGAGCTGGAGCAAGCTGCGCACAGAAGCACACAGCAGACGTCTTCGTCACCAATGTACGATGCACCCGCCAGTGTAAGTGTAAGTGTTCCCGCGCAGATATTGCGTGTGGTTATGAAGTCGCCGCGCAAGTCCCAAGCGGCTCAGGTGTCTCACGTGACAGCTAGCGTCCACGTGGATGATACGGGTAGTACAGGTGGTAGTAGCATACCACATGAAAGTACAAGCGCACGCACTCGCGCATCGTCCGACGCGATAGCGGCTGTTCAGGGAGATACACTGAACGTAGGCTGTGAGGAACATACAGGTTCAACCCAGCATGAGGGCAGTACCTATACTATAGTCGTATCGCAGGATAGCGTAAAGGCTGTTGCTGATGGCGAGATGAGCGATAGTGATGTGTCACGGTCACATGAAGAACCTGCGTCTCGGCGCAGCGATCGCAAGAAGAGGGCCCGGCGTAAGGTGGCTGTCACGAATGCAACACCCTCCATAAAGTCGCAGTCTCAGTCTCAGTCACAAGCAGAGTCAGCAACAAGTGTTTGTGGAGCCGATCAGACGGAAGATGAGGGTAGAGACAAGTCGACCGGGGCTGATGACAAACAAAGAGTACAGGCGAACGCGAACGGGCTGACTATGAACGATGTAAACGAGCCCTTACCAGCTCAACCTGAACCGAATGTGGTGGCTACAACGGCTTCGATTGCGGATTCCCACACATCCGTCTCGAATTGCAAACGTGTTCCTGGAGCGAAAGATGTATGCACAGCTGCATGCAAAGCTGTGTGTGCTAATGCATGCAAAGGGTCATCAACGTGTAAGAAAGGTGGAGAACGAAGGACCAAATCATCATGGACAGTGGATGAGAATAAGCTGTTTTTCGAGTCCTTCCTCAAGGTTTGTATAATATTTTTTGTTTGTTTTTGCATATGCCGTATTCCTGTCCTGTAGCGATATTTGTTTGTCTTTGTTGTGAAAATATGTTGCTTTTTAGAACAGTAGATCGACTCGCGCGTAGTTTTTACCGCAGTAACTTATAGGTTCCAATATTTTGCGATAACAACAGATATGTATGCTTGTCTGAATATTATATGTTTGTGACAGCATTTGTGACTTTCTATGACTATGGGTAAATTACACTACTGCCTACTTATGATATATATGTATATATACATATATATATATATGTATACATATATATGTGTGTGTGTGTTTATGTATGTATGTATGTATATATGTATGTATGTATGTTTGTATATATATATATATACATATATATATATATATATGTGTGTATGTGTGTGTGTATGCGTGTGTGTGTATATATATATATATTTATGTGTGTGTCTGTCTGTGTCTGTCAGAGAAAGAGAGAGTGAAAGAATGTGTGTATGTATCTATGTATCTATGTATCTGTGTATGTGTGTATGTATGTATCTATGCATATATATTTTATATATATATATATATATATATATATATATATATATATATATATATATATATATATATATATATATATATATATATATATATAGTATATATATATTATATTATTAT